GTGGATGGACCTAGAGTCTGTCATACAGAGTGAAGTAAGTCAGAAAGAGAAAAACAAATACCATATGCTAACACATTTATATGGAATCTAAAAAAAATTTTTAATTAAAAAATGGTTATGAAGAACCCAGGGGCAGGACAGGAATAAAGATGCAGATGTAGAGAATGGACTTGAGGACACGGGGAGGGGGAAGGGTAAGCTGGGACAAAGTGAGAGAGTGGCACGGACTTATAAATACTACCAAATGTAAAATAGATAGCTAGTGGGAAGCAGCCACATAGCACAGGGAGATCAGCTCAGTGCTTTGTGACCACCTAGAGGGGTGGAATAGGGAGGGTGGGAGGGAGACTCGGGAGGGAGGAGATATAGGGGTATATGTATATGTACAGCTGATTCACTTTGTTATAAAGCAGAAACTAACACACCATTGTAAAGCAGTTATACTCCAATAAAGATGTTAAAAAAAGAGATGATTATAACACAAGAAAAACTATTAGTTTTAGGAAAATAATATCAACCAAATGGTATGGGAGTTGGGATGGGGGAAAGATTATTTCTGGATTGGGGGAGCAGAGAAACTTTATTGAGAAGTTCATGGGATTTGAGCAGGCCTTTGTAAAATAACCTTTGAAAGATTTTGACTGATATAGAGCAGGGCATTACCCTTGGAAGGAACAGTGTGAGCAATGGCATAGATGCAGGAAAGCATGGGCCATATAGAGGGAAAAGTACATAGGCCAGTTTGGATAAAGGTAAATAGTGGAAGAGAAAGATGAGAGAACAGTTCAAATTAGAGCATCTTGAATGTGTGGCTGATAATATATCTGAACTTCATTCAGTAACCCATGGGAAGGCATCGAAGGTTTTTGAGCTGCTAAGAAGTCATGATCAGTGTTCTGTTCTCGGGCAGCAGTGGGTACTTTATAAAAGTTGGAAGCAAATATCAGGATATTGAATCCAGGAGGAAGGTATAAAGAATCTGATGATATTAGTGGGATTAGAAAGGAGGCAGTAGCTTCAAGAGACCCTCAAATGTAATATATAGAACCTGAGAGGTGATCAGAGAAGGAATAGATGGTAACTCTTAAATTTTATGAAAGAGTTACAGAATAATAAGGCAGAGGATCAGATATGCTTAAAATCAGGGAAGGTAAGAAATGTCATTTTGGAACATGTTTATCTTGAGACGAGAGTGAGCACCTAAGAGGAAATGTCCAACAGTTTAAGTTTGGGACTAGAGATAGTTTTAGGAGCCAGGGCTAGAGTTGCAGTGAGAGGATATATCATAACTCAGGGAAAGCACACACAGCAAACAGGGATAAGAACAACGCCTTGGGGGAAGAGCACCTATTATGTGCAAGGCATTGTAAAAAAAAAAAGCTTGATATACTTTATTTTATATAATCCTTGCAACCAAGGTGAAGTGATTATCTTCATGTGAGAGATAAGGAGAAGTTCAGAGTGATTATCTCATTAGACCAAGGTCATACATTTGACAGTGTTGGTTGGCTCCAGGGTTTAGAGTTAGGTCAGTGGAAATTTACTACATCACACTGCAGAGCTGTCAAAGAGGCAGGAGGAGGAAAACCAGGAGAATTAATTGTCATGAAAACAAGGGAGAAGACTAAGTGTCTTAATGAACTATGGGGTGACTGTGGGAATAGAAAAGATGGAGGTGAGGAAGTGAAATATCTTCAGTGGTTCCCAGAAGTTCCAGCTTTTGTTGGGAATTTGTGCCAAGACCACATAGATGCCAGTCTTAGGTACATTGAGAGAGGCTGTTTAAGGACTTTGAACTGCACCTGGCCTGGCTGGAGGTTGAGTTCCATCTACAAATGTACATTTTAACTTGCTCAAATAAGCACTTACCCCAAAAGCACCAGCTGATCTTCCAACTTTGTTTTTAGCAGGAGAGACTACTTTTTCAATTTAGGATATAGGAAAATCCCAGATAAAATCAGAGTTATTCAAGTTGAAGGAGAGGGAGTACCCTTTTCCTCCTCCTTACTCCCCTCTACCCTTAATCCACTTCAGAAAAGGGTTCTGAAACCTCCTTGCTGTACATAATAGTATTTGAAAAAACCCTGCTTTGCATTAAATTTGGAGGGGGGTGACAAAGGGAAGTGACAGGTATTGCCCTTTATTATAGATGAGAAAAGCTAGAGAACTGAAGGAAAGAGTCATTTGCTTTAGGTACAAATAATTTAGGAATCCAGCTGAGAATAGAACAGGAGTTTTCAAACTCCCCAACAGTCAGCACTCTATTATCTCACTCTTGTCCCCAGTTTTAAAACAAATAAAATTTGTTTAAAAAAGAACATAGCACTTGATTTCTAAGATTCCGTATTTGTTAACTACATATTTGTTAACTACATATACGTGCAAAACAGTTATGCAGATATTTGTTAACTACATATACGTGCAAAACAGTTAAGACCCGCTTAATAAACACTGACTCATTTTTATAGACTAAAAGAAAGGGAAAATAAACTATCCCAAAGCATCAGTATTATATTACCGAATAAGGAGCTTTCTCTGTGAGACTGCAAAATTACAAGCACCAGAAAGAGATTGCGTGGACTCCAATATTTGTTCAGACCCAATTTAAAGCTCTAGGCAGAAAAGAGGGGTTTTGTAGCACACAGTAGCTTTACAAAGCCTGCCTTATAGGCTGAGCAGGTAACTCCTGGGGAAGACCATGAGTTTGAAAATGAAAGCAGTGGCTAAGAAACTATAGTGTTCTGCAGGTTTTTTTCTACTCCATTTGTGTTTGAAGTTAGTTTTATATTCATCTTCACCTATTTGCTTTAAACCACTTGAAACCAAATCCAAGTTAATTGAAAGGTTACGAGGGGTCCATGAACCACCTTTGGAAGAAGCAGTTTGCAAACAAGGGTTTTGAAACTCTCTTCATTTTCCCTATCTAGAGGAAACAGAATTTCAAAATCCACAAAAAAAGAATTTGGCTAGCTCCCAGAAGCCGGGAATCAGACGTAGGAAGCTGAAGGAGATCTAGTCATCTAAATGGCTTCATAGACTAGTAGATGTTTCAACGTCTTCCTACCCCTCCCAGAGTTTTAAAGTTACTAAGTTTAGAAGATCTCTGTTTTCCTAGAGCGTTTTCCAGTCAGAAAGAATTTATGGTTGAAATAGGAGGGGATAAGGCAGGAACTGTAACTGAGAAGAGAGGTGTAGTGTAGAGTCCTGGCAGTTTTCAGGCTGTGCCGTTTAAAAGCATTTCAGGGTAAGGCTTGCTTTTTATTTTTTATTTATTTATTTATTTTTTTAGTATATGTGCTTCTGTTGCGTTTTTTTTTAAAAAAAGAAAAAATTAAAAAGAAAACTTTTGATACCTTTGCTAGATTCATGGGGTGGGAATTGGGTTGGGGGAGCATTGATTTCTGGAGTAACTCTGGGGATTTGTGCATTGGATATAATAGCTAACGCAGAGAAACCTTAATGGAGTAGACTGGAAGCTTCCATGATTTTACACAACTGTTTTGGGGAAAACATAGTTCTTATTTTAGTCAGGGGATGATGGGCACATCTGCTTCTATGTGAGAGTCCTTTCCTCAGATTCCCAAAAGCCTTCAAGTCAACCAGGGATTTGTTCCTTTGTTGGTAAAGAACTCTACTCTCTGGAAGACAGATTTGTTCATTGAAAGCCAATAATGACTTACGTGCATGCAGTCTATGATATTCTAGTACTAAGAGTCATTGGCTATTCTTATATCACAAATATGCCTTTGCTAGACTGCATTGTGTTTTAGTTTATGTAGTTTTCAGACTGAGCTAAATATATAAAGACTTTCTCTAATACTTTGTACTTAGTAAATTTACCAGTTTTTGTATATAATAAGTGTGGGGAGGGTATAGGATGTTGGCAGCACAGAATCACAGCTGTGGCTTGGGGGAACTTGAGGTTGGTTTGCAATGTGATACCAATCGGAACTCTATAGGCTAAAATATCAGTAGACCAGTACTCCACCCTCAACCCCAAGTTTTAGTAAGGTCATTCTTGTTTCTATGTTATGTGACTCAGTTCAAGGTCTAGGCTGCTTGGAGATTATCAGCTCAAGGTGGGACCTCTTATTTCTACCTTTAGATTCTCATGTCTAAGTGAAAGAGCTTTAGTTTCTATAACCATGTCATTACAGAGGAAAAAATAGTAAGTTTACAGTGGAGAGTTCTGGCAGACACCATCTTAGCCAAGCGTTCTAGGTTCACATCACTAGGAGTCCATATGACAGCATGTATCCCCTGATATGATGCAATGAGAAGGGCACATCACACTCAAGTTGAGGCACCTTCTACAAAACAACTGGCCAATACCCTTCAAAGCTCTCAAGATTATGAAAAACAAGGAAAGAATGAGGAACAGTCACATATGGAAGGAGACGTACAACTAAATGTAATGTGGGATCCTGGATTAGATCCTGGAACAACAACAACAAAAAAGGACATTAGTGGAAAGAATTGGTAAAAAAAATAAATATTTTCTGTACTTTAGTTAATAGTATTATACCAAGGTTAATTTCTTAGTTTGTTAATTGTTTAATCGTTATGTAAGATATTAACATAAGAAGGTGGGTGGAGTGTATGGAAATTCTCTATACTATTTTTGCGACTCTTCTGTAAGTTTAAAATTATCTCAAAATAAAAAAATTTTTTTCATGTAGTAACCTGAATTGGGCCAACTCTTTTAGTAAGTGTTAATTAAAAATTACTCTCTGAGGAGTTCCCTGGCGGCGCAGTGGTTAAGAATCCACCTGCCAATGCAGGGGACACGGGTTACATCCCTGGTCCGGGAGGATCACACATGCCACAGAGCAACTAAGCCCATGTGCCACAACTACTGAAGCCCGCATGCCTAGAGCCCGTGCTCCACAGCAAGAGAAGCCACCACAATGAGAAGCCCGCGCACCGCAAAGAAGAGTAGCCCCCGCTCAGTGAAACTAGAGAAAGCCCGCGCACAGCAACAAAGACCCAACGCAGCTGAAAAAACTAAAATAAAATTATAAAAAAAATAAAAAATAAAAATTACTCTCCAGAGTAATTATTCTTCCTCATAGGAAGACTATTTCCTATCTGGTATGTTCACTTTAATTTTTTAGTTCTTTTGTTATTATCATATATTGAATAGATATAAAGTTTATCACAAATGTGTAAGTTGGAAAGAGTAACACCATGAGCACAAATGTAGCTTGAAACACTCCGTATGCTTTTTCCATCCCATCCCCTTCCCTCTCCCTAAACTCTATCCTGAATTTGGTATTTTTAATTCCCTTGTTTCTCTTTATAGGTTTACCTTGAAAGTATTTAACCCTGATGATATAGTTTTACATGATCTTTAACTTTACATAAGTGGAATAATATTTTATGTATACTTCTGCAATTTGTTTTTCCCTAAATATTATATTCCTGAGATTTAACAATGTTAATATGTATAACTTAGCTCACTCATTTTCACTACTATGTAGCTTTCCATTTTATGAACATACCACAAGTTACTTCTCTATTCTATCATTAATAGCCATTTGGTTGGTTTCCCAGTTTTGCTGTTATGAGCAGTGCTATTGCACACATCTTCGTATGTGGCATATTATGACAGTTTCCCTAGGGTATATAAATAAGATGGACTAGCTGGGTTATAGGGTAAATTCTCCATCAACTTTATTAGATAAGGCCAAATTGTTTTCCAGAGTGGTTTGTCCAATTTTTAATACCACCAACAGTATGTAAGTGTTCCAGTGGTTCCACTTTCTCTCTAACACAATATTATTAGACTTAAATTTTTTTTTACTAAGCTGGTGGGTGTGTATATTAAAATTTTAAAACATTGCCCTTTGTTGATTGACTACTTTGTGTCAAGTACTGTGGCAGACGTTTTCATACATTATTTAATTTAATCCTCTCACAGTTCTTCTTAGCTCCCTAATGGAAACTAATGTTGTACTTAGTTTGTAATACATAATTACCTCTAAACCTCTCTCTGGCAAATTTATTCCTTATCAGATTTTTCTCCATCTTGTATCTGCTAAATTTATTTTCTGTTTCTTAAAAAAAAATTATTCTCACTTTAGAAGAAATTTAAGGCATGAAGTGGTTAATAACTTGCCCCAAGTCACATTGTCGTTAATTAGTAGCAAACTTTGAAATGAAACCCAGTTCTCTAGCTCCTAATCCTTTTTTTTTACTCCATCTCTTCCCTTTTCCCTCCCACATCGCATTTCTTCTTCCCTTCCCTCACATTCTCCTCCTCCTCCTCTGAGTTTAACAGCTTAAATGTATTTTCCAGTTGGCAGCTATGTAATGTGATGTGCGTGTAGAGAGCGTCACAAGATTGGGTGAGTGCCTGGTTCCAGCTAAATAGTCATTACTCAGGTCCCTGGCTGGCTGTTAAGTGTCACAACCATTTCAAATTCCAAGCTGTGCTGCTTGTGTGCATTTGGCCAGGCTACCCTCTCAAAGCTGTCGATGGCCCTGCAGGGGTTGGAGAGAATCCAGAACTTCAGGACCTCCCATCCTTGGCTCTCCTTTCTCAGCAGTAGGAACCCCAAGCCTACTGTGGGGGTCCCTGAGAATTCTCAGGCAACTGAAGGTAGGACTGGGTGCCTAGAGAGTGATGCTATTAGAACTGCTCACGTTCGTTAGGAACACACAGATTCTGTTGACAGAAGAAACAGACCTTAGCTTGGGGTACAAAACTTGCAGCACAAGTGAATTTTTTCGGCCTACACAATATTTAATTTTACTTTTTAAAAACTTTGGATGCTTTTATAGGAAGCATGCACTCACCAATTGGTCACAATGCCCAGCACTTCATTTCTTGTTGTTTTATACCTAACTACTATTAACTCCCTGGCTCCTAAAGTTATTTGATGCAACTCTGCCTAGATTATTGAAATATGAATTGTATCCTTACTGAGGTCACTTGGGACTCACTGAGGGCAGAACTGGAAGATGCATTCTCATTCCAAAGTGATCACAGTTGCCCAGGTATTTTTTTTTTCTGACAGCCAAACATCCCTTGGCTGTAAATACTCTTTTACTTAGACTTAACACTCCCCCCCAAAATTATGGATTTTTGTCCCATCTAATCTTGTTTGGGATAATTAAGATGAAAATACATGTAATATTTTCTAATCTTGGCTTATGCATACTTAGTGACTTAGGAGACCTGAAAGAAATTAATTAATTAAAATAAACATACTTTTTTGGCCTTTTTTGAATTGGGTTAAGAATGGAGAGATAGAAGGGTTTTCTGTGTAGCATAGTCATGGGGTTTGATAAAGCATAATTTTCAAAAGGTTAAAAAACATGACTCTCATGTAAATATAAAATGGACAGATGTCACAGATTTTATTTAACTCATTAATTAATGAGGGAACCAGTAAGATGTTAAGACCAGTTCAAATAAAAATTTAGGAGCTGTGTATATATAGGCAATTTCATTAAAAAAAAGTTAAGATTTCTCAATTATATACAAAACTATTTAAAGTCCTAAAGTACATTAATCGTAACCTTTGGAGTTATCTTTTCCACCAGAGAGAAAATATTTATATCTATATTAGATGAAAATCTACAAGTTAACTGCTGCCCTATGGGGTTATAGAATAGTCCAACAGAAAACTAATCAAAGGTATAAGCCCAGAACTTCACTAAAAGATCACCCAATAATTTATTTTTCCTGTTTCCAAGTTTCAGCTAATTTTTCTGGCAGATTATAGTTATCAGCTTAGACTTGGTTGCCAGGAAGTGGAATCTGTTTCCCAAGTTTTGAAAATATAACTTTATGATAAGGATGTATGAAATGAATTCTAAAATTTAGCACATGTATTTTAGAGGTAGATTTATTTTGGATTTCAGAGATCAAGTTCCAAGTTTCTTAAACATTCATTTAAGTAAAATGGTATTGGCAATGAGAAATTCTCATTCTAAATTTTTTTATTTCCTTTACAGAAATCCCAGGGAATTATAACTGGAACTACTCTGCAATGTCTGTATTTGAAAAGGAAAGTGAGGACAAACAAAATGGAGGTAGGTGAACTCTAAGTCTGTATGTCATTATTGTTGCCTGTAAAAAGTGCACACATGCCCGCACATGTGTGTGCACTTGCACGTATGACAGATAAATAGACTGGCCAACCTACCAAACTACCATTTTAGCAAACTGACCAGGAAAGGAAATATACTTTGCAGAAGTAAATACTTTGTACTTACAATTTCAAGCTCCCTTGTTCTGTCATTTGAGAATTCTAATTTGAGTAGTTATACTTGCTCATCTTTTGTTCTTTTATCTGTACTCTTAATTTATTTTGTACTTTTATTTGGAAGTTCATCAGGAAAGCATGTGTTCCTTTTCCTCTCCCCATCCTTCACAACCGCCTCCTGCTAAAAAAGAAGTGGTTAATGTGAAAAGCAGTTGCTGAGGCTAATTAAGTCATCTTTTGCAGACTTTTTGCAGACAGAGCAAGTGGATCTGGCTATGGTGTTAGAGAGGATTTCTGTACCACTTCCGTGCTTTCCTGTGGTGTCTCAAAGTACTAAAAGGAGCTGGGGTAATCACACCCAAGCCACCTTTAAGAATGAAACTGCCTGACATGAAAAAAGAAATCTTTTTCTAACATAAAATTTTGAGAAAGCAAGCCAGACTGTAGTTCTATATTTAGGCTTCCTTTTGAGGAGTGGAGAAGGTGCAGAGAATGAAATTAGGTCACTGATTTAAGGTCACACTATACCTTCTTTACTTTCTGTCATTATGCAGTTGTCTGATTCCTGGAAGGAGCCCATTCCAAGGGCACAGGCCCTGGTTCTAGGAAGAGGAAGTCAGGGAGCTCCCAACAGAAGGAAAAAGCAAGAAGTCCTCTCCTACTCTCAGAACTGCTGAAAGAGAGAGGGTTGAGGAAAACAGGCTAACTGACCAATTTCTCCTGCATCTTCTTATGAACAGAGAATATGGCAGACAGTGTAAATCAGTGAAGCGAGAACACACCCTCACACCATACACAACAATAAACTCAAAATGGCTTAAAGACTTAAATATAAGACATGACACCATAAAATTCCTAGAAGAGAACATATGCAAAACATTTCTCTGACATAAATCGTAACAATGTTTTCTTAGGTCAGTCTCCCAAGCCAATAGAAATAAAAGCAAAAATAAACGGTACCTAATCAAACTTATAAGCTTTTGCACAGCAAAGGAAACCATAAACAAAATGAAAAGACAACCTACAGACTTGGAGAAAATATTTGCAAATGATGTGACCAACAAGGGCTTAATTTCTAAAATATACAAACAGCTTATACTATTCAATAACAACAACAAAAAAAACCCCAAACAACCCAATCAAAAAGTGGGCAGAAGGTCTAAATAGACATTTCTCCAAAGAAGACGTGCAGATGGCCAGTAGGCACATGAAAAAGATGCTCAGCATTGCTAATTATTAGAGAAATGCAAATCAAAAACTACAGTGAGGTACCACCACACACCGGTCAGAATGGCCATCATCAAAAAATATACAGATAACAAATGCTGGAGAGGGTGTGAAGAAAAGGGAGCCCTCCAACACTGATGGAAATCTAAATTGGTGCAGCCACTGTGGAAAACCAGTATGGAGGTTCCTCAAATCATTAAAAATTGAGCTACCATATGATCTAACAATCCCACTCCTGGGCATATATCCAGACAAATCTATAATTCAAAAAGATACATGGACCCCTATGTTCATAGCAGCACTATTTACAATAGCCAAGACATGGAAGCAACCTAAACATCCATTGACAGATGAATGGATAAAGAAGATACAGATATATATACACACAATGGAGTATTACTCAGCCATAAAAAAGAATGAAATAATGCCATTTGCAGCAACATGGATGGACCTAGACATTATCATACTAAGTAAAGTAAGTCAGACAGAAAGACAAACATCATATGATATCAGTTATATGTGGAATCTAAAAAAATGATAGAAATGAACTTATTTACAAAACAGAACCAAACACAAACATAGAAAACAAATTTATGGTAACCAAAGGCAGAAGGAGGGGGAGGGATAAATTAGGATTTTGGGATTAGCGATTAGCAGATACACACTACTATATATAAAATAGGTAAATGACAAGGTCCTACTGTATAGCACAAGGAACTACATTCAATATCTTGTAATAAACTATAGTGGAAAAGAATCCGAAAAAGAATATATATACACATATAGCTGAATCATTTTGCTATACACCAGAAACTAACACAACATTGTAGATCAACTATACTTCAACAAATAAATAACTTTTTAAGAAAAGAAAATATAGAGGACAAAATACTTTAGGGAGCAGTAAGTTCAAGGTTAATGAAGAATGTGATAGTCAATAAAGACTGATTAATTTATTCAACAAATATTTATTGATCACCAAATGCCACTGTGCTACATGCTGGCAATACAATAGCCACAAAACTAGACAGAATCCCAGCCCTAATGGAGATTATGGTTTACTGAGGGACAGCCTTTAATTAAGTAATAAGACATTAAATAATAGCACAGAGAAATGCCAAATTATATCGACGGTAAGTGCTAGGAAGTCAAGGTCATATGGGAGGCACAGTGGTTAAGACCGTGGATTCTGGAGCCATACTGTCTAGGTTTGAATCCTAGCTCCACCACTTACTGTTATTTTGGGGAAAATCTCTTAATTTCTTTATGCTACAGCTTCTCATCCATAAAATGGGGCTACCTCATAAGGATGTTGTGAGGATTAAATGAGGTAATATTTGTAAAGCACTGGCACATGGTAAACACTAGGTAAACGTTTATGTAAAAAGTAATTTATAAGAGCTTGGTGCTCCCATTCAGGAAGATAATTAAGAACTTGAATGTTTATAAATGTGGTCATTTCAAAAAGTCAAAATTTTTACCAATGAAAAGTAATTGGAACCAGTTTTCTTGGTCTGAATTCCTTCAGATAGGCTAAGTCTACCTACTGCAGTAGAGTTATTGCTTGTGCTGTTTGGAGCAGTGAGCAGTTAATCCTGGTCCATCCTGTTGGCCTGAGTCAACAAAATAATAGTGGCAAAACCAGTATTTGGCAGGTAACTCTGCCCTTTTCCAGGCTATCAGCCTGTTCTGGTTGGAAAACACATAGTACATAGAGTGGATGTGGAGTTGACTTGTTCCAGCATTTTGCTTACCTACTCTCTCCTTTCTATTTTTCACTACTTTCTTAGTTCAACCTCTCACTGTTTCAAGCATTGATTATTGCAGCAATCTTTTAAGTCTTTATTCTGCAATGTGTTCCTCTGTAAATACGTCATATTAATCTTTCTGAAATTCCAGTTTTATCACATTTTTCCCTGCTCAGAATCTTTCTGGGATTCCTTGTCAGCTACTAGATAAAATTTAAGGTCATTAGCCTGCATTAAAAGCCTGACTTTATAGTCTTGTTTCCTCCCTCCTTCAGACTCTTCCTACCTACTGTACTATCATACAACTTGTCTAGTCTCAGTGCTGAAAATTTCATTAAGTTCTTTTTTTCTGCCTAGATACGTGTTCCCTACATCTATCAATATATTGAATCTATATTCATCTTTTAGGTTTAGTGCAAGTCCTCTATGAAGCCTTCTCCAGCAACTCTAGCCACCAGTGCCCCCCACGCCCCTGGCATTATCTTTCCTTCTTGAATTCCTATAGTGCTTGATTTCTATAATTTTTAAAAATAATAGCCTTATTAAGATATCACTTGTCATAAAATTCACCATTTTAAAGCACACAACTCAGTGATTTTCAGTACATTCACAGAATTGTGAACCATGACCATAATTCAATTTTAGAAAATTTTCATCACCCCAAAAGAAACCCTGTACCCGTTAGGAATCACTCCCAATTCCCCCCACCTCCAGCCACTGGCAACCACTAATCTATTTTCTATCCGTATGGACTTGTCTATTCTACACATGATATATGCATAACATATACACATATATATAGAATCAAGTAATATGTAGCCTTTTGTGACCGGCTTCTTTCACTTAATGTTTTCAAGGTTCATGCATATTGTAGCATATATTAGTACCTCATTCCTTTTTATGGCTGAATATCATTTCATTGTATGGGCACACGACTATTTGTTTATCTGTTCATCAGTTGATAGATATTTACATTGTTTCCACTTTTTGGCTATTATAAACAATGCTGCTATAAACATTTATGTACAAGTTTTTGTGTGGACTTCAATTCTCTTGGGTTTCTACAATTCATTGTAAATCTTATTAATATCCTGCCTTGAACTTTTACTTTACTGTTTTGCATATATGTTGAGTTTATCTACTAAGTTATCTACCTAGCCCAGTGCCTACAGAGTTCCCTCTGTCCTGGAGAGTTTACAAGCTTGTCCCATTTATTATACTTCTCCTTTCCCTCAGCTTTACCACCCATACACATATATTGATACAAATATCATCATTGTTATCATCACCACTACCACAACACAACAGTAAAAATTATTAATAAGTATTGATAGGTAGTTAAATAATACTAGGTAGTAAATTCAAAAGGGTGAGATACACTTGTATGTATTGACATGGAAAGATCTACAATACATATTATGAAAAGAAAAAAGCAACTAGCAGAGCAATACATATAGTAGCATCTCATTTGTTTAAAAAACACATATAGGTGTTTGTGTATACGTATATGTTTGTAAGTAAATACTCTAAGGAAGGGACCCCCAAAGGATATACGCCAATCTGTTAACAGTGGTTTCCTTAGGAAAGGGAGAAGGCGTGGGAAAGGAAACTATATTTTTTCTCTATATATTTTTGAGTTTGTATCTTTTACATGTAAAATATGTTTGCTTTACTTTGGTGATTTGAAAAACAATTAAAGAAAAAAGTGTAATCGCAAAGGAAAAAAAACTAAGTTGGAGAAACTAGAAAGAAAGGACAGAAGAAGAAATAGTACGAAGGAAGAGGGCATAGATATTGCAGCATGTAGGGCAGAAAATTAATCAGAGCCTTAGTAATAGAATCCTATGCAACA